GTGTGTGAGTGAGTGAGTGAGTGTGTGAGTGGAGGTGAGTGTGTGAGTGAGTGAGTGAGTGAGTGTGTGAGTGTGTGAGTGAGTGTGTGAGTGAGTGTGTGAGTGAGTGTGTGAGTGAGTGTGTGAGTGAGTGTGTGAGTGGAGTGAGTGTGTGAGTGAGTGAGTGAGTGAGTGTGTGAGTGTGTGAGTGTGTGAGTGAGTGAGTGAGTGTGTGTGTGAGTGAGTGTGTGAGTGAGTGTGTGAGTGAGTGTGTGTGAGTGAGTGTGTGAGTGGATGGTGAGTGTGTGTGAGTGTGTGAGTGGAGTGAGTGTGTGAGTGAGTGAGGTGAGTGAGTGAGTGTGAGTGTGTGAGTGTGTGGTGAGTGAGTGAGTGGTGTGTGAGTGAGTGTGTGAGTGTGTGTGAGTGAGTGGTTGAGTGAGTGTGTGAGTGAGTGAGTGTGTGAGTGAGTGAGTGAGTGAGTGTGTGAGTGAGTTGTGTGAGTGGAGTGAGGTGTGTGAGTGAGTGAGTGAGTGAGTGTGTGAGTGTGTGAGTGAGTGTGTGAGTGAGTGTGTGACGTGAGTGTGTTGAGTGAGTGTGTGAGTGGAGTGCGTGTGTGAGTGAGTGAGTGAGTGAGTGTGTGAGTGTGTGAGTGTGTGAGTGAGTGAGTGTGTGAGTGAGTGAGTGTGTGAGTGAGTGTGTGAGTGAGTGTGTGAGTGAGTGTGTGAGTGGAGTGAGTGTGTGAGTGTGTGAGTGGAGTGAGAGTGTGTGAGTGAGTGAGTGAGTGAGTGAAGTGAGTGAGTGAGTGTGTGAGTGTGTGAGTGTGTGAGTGAGTGAGTGTGTGAGTGTGTGAGTGTGTGAGTGAGTGTGTGAGTGAGTGAGTGAGTGAGTGAGTGAGTGAGTGTGTGAGTGAGTGTGTGAGTGAGTGTGTGAGTGAGTGTGTGAGTGAGTGAGTGTGTGAGTGAGTGAGTGAGTGAGTGAGTGAGTGTGTGAGTGAGTGTGAGTGAGTGTGTGAGTGTGTGAGTGAGTGAGTGAGTGAGTGTGAGTGAGTGAGTGAGTGAGTGAGTGAGAGAGAGAGAGTGAGAGAGAGAGGGAGTGAGGAGAGAGAGAGAGAGAGTGAGAGAGTGTGACAGGACAGCACACACATTCATCATGACAGTCTGCTACTGCGCGTGTGTGTATCCGAGTGTGAGAGAATCACAGGCCCTGCCAGGATTCGACCTGGTGACTCTGCATGGAGGCGCAGAGGCTCCCGGAGCTCAGGGCCATATATATATACACACACACACGCACATGCGCACACCACACACACACACACACACGGACCTGTGCTCGGCTGTAGGTCAGGTACAGTTTTTCCACGTTTCTGAGGTAGAGTCAGTCTGGGATCATCAACAGTCAGTCCCAACACACACCCTGCTGGGAGCTCTGCTGTGGAACACACTCCTGTAAAACACACACAACACACACACACATCAGACATCCACCTCCTCCTCATCACGCAGTCACGTGACCTCAGTCTTCATCACCTCTCAGGAGCTGGAACGTGTGTGTCTGCTGCCGATGGAGGCTTTCGTTCTCGCCACTCCGCATCTACAGGAACCAGAGACAACCATCAGCCAATCAAAGAGCCGATCACAGCGAGAGTGATGTCATCAGAGTCTCTCACCTCACTGGCTGGACGGAGTGTGTCTGTGAGCACCGTGTGAGCCAGCGGACCAATCAGACGGAAGCGCACAATCTCCATGGTGAGGTCGCTAAACAGGATATGATGAGCGATCACGTTAGACAGCTCTGGCTACAGCGCTCTAAACTCATGCAGAAACACATTCTGTGAAGATGCGTGTGACATCACCGTCTGTGCGGTCACACACACACACACACACACACACTGAGCAACAGCATTGGTTTTCAGTGTGAATGCCGTGAAAAACACACATTTAAAACAGAAAGAGCTTTGAGATCGGCTGAACTAGATTTGACAGAAGTCTGAGGTGTGTTTCCACACACTGCTAAAGCTGCAGGACAGAAGCGAATGGATCCTGCGACTCACAGACACTTCTGGATCCGGCACAGAACGCTGGATTTGCTGTTATTATTCTCTTATGCTGAATTATGGGGTGAAACCACACCCTATATATTGTATTGACAACTCATCAATTAAATATTTACCATTGTATATTCTGCATAATTTGATGTTTTTAAATAAACACTGACAAAAAACTACACAAGTTTTAGTGCTGGATGGATTTAAATCTATATTGTGTTTATATAAAGCGTTCACAGGCTAATTTGCTTTATGCATTACATCAGGCTCATATAAACGTCAGGAAACACGATTCCCGCTGCATGTCAGTATCCGGATCACTGGATCCGAGTTGGAAGAAACACTATCTCGAGTCCAAGCTTTAGTTTAAACTGATAATTGTTTGTTTTACTGGCGTTTTCTCCGTTTCTGCTATTAGGCTGCCGTCACTTTAAGAGCGAATAAACTGACACACACATGCGGTTTCTTCCTGTACACTGACAGAAGCGAGAGAACACTCGCAGAGACGGCGTTCAGACATCAGTGTGTGTGTGTGTGTGTGTGTGTGTGTGTGTGGTGTGTGTGTGTGTGTCCGTTCAAGAGCAAGAGAACGCAGAGGAACCAGTTCAGTGTTCGACCGCCGCTTTCTCTCTCTCTGTGAGTGTGTGTGTGTGTGTGTGTGCACAGATAACGTGCGATTTTCGCCTCTTCTTCTGCGTTTTAAATTATTTGAATGTGTAAATTGGCCAGACAACACGTCCACATTATACACTTTCACTCTATGATGGTTCAATCTAGCAGTTAATCCACGAATCACATGTGAGCCGACCGTGTGGAGCCGGTCCGAGCGCATCCGTTTCACCTCTAGTGTGTGTGTGTGTGTGTGTGGGTGAGTGAGTGAGTGTGTATGTGTGTGTGTGTGAGTGAATGTGTGTGTGTGTTCCTCTACCTGATGGTGATGTGTGTGTGTGAGTGTATGAGTGAGTGAGTGAGTGAGTGAGTGAGTGTGTATGTGTGTGTGAGTGAATGTGTGTGTGTGTTCCTCTACCTGATGGTGATGTGTGTGTGTGAGTGTATGAGTGAGTGAGTGAGTGAGTGAGTGAGTGAGTGAGTGAGTGAGTGAGTGAGTGAGTGAGTGAGTGAGTGAGTGAGTGAGTGAGTGAGTGAGTGAGTGAGTGAGTGAGTGAGTGTGTGCGTGTGTGTGTGAGTGAGTGAGTGAGTGAGTATGTGTGTGTGATCCTCTACCTGATGGTGATGTGTGTGTGTGAGTGTGAGTGCGTGTGTGTGTGTGTGTGTGTGTGTGTGTGTGTGTGTGAGTGTGAGTGTGAGTGCGTGTGTGTGTGTGTGAGAGTGTGTGTGTGAGTGCATGAGTGAGTGCGTGAGTGAGTGAGTGAGTGTGTGTGCGTGTGTGTGTGTGCTCCTCTACCTGATGGTGATGTGTGTGTGTGAGTGTGTGTGAGTGCATGAGTGAGTGCGTGAGTGAGTGAGTGAGTGTGTGTGCGTGTGTGTGTGTGCTCCTCTACCTGATGGTGATGTGTGTGTGAGAGTGTGTGTGTGTGAGTGCATGAGTGAGTGCGTGAGTGAGTGAGTGAGTGTGTGTGCGTGTGTGTGTGTGTGCTCCTCTACCTGATGGTGATGTGTGTGTGTGTGTGTGTGTGTGTGAGTGCATGAGTGAGTGCGTGAGTGAGTGAGTGAGTGAGTGTGTGTGCGTGTGTGTGTGTGCTCCTCTACCTGATGGTGATGTGTGTGTGTGAGTGTGTGTGAGTGTGTGTGAGTGCATGAGTGAGTGAGTGAGTGAGTGTGTGAGTGTGTGTGAGTGCATGAGTGAGTGAGTGAGTGAGTGTGTGAGTGTGTGTGAGTGCATGAGTGAGTGAGTGAGTGAGTGAGTGAGTGAGTGAGTGAGTGAGTGAGTGAGTGAGTGTGTGAGTGAGTGAGTGTGTGTGTGTGTGTGCTCCTCTACCTGATGGTGATGTGTGTGTCGGGGGACTCCCAGCGCACCGGAGCTCCAGCGGGGCGAGTCCCGTCTCCCAGCAGCCTCTTGGAGGGAGGATTGGTGTCGCCTTCATCGCTCTTCCTCTTCCTCTTCCTCCCTGCAGGATCCGCTTCGGGATGAAGATCCTCAGACACGGCCACGGCCGGAGAACACCGACACACCAGCAGCAGCTCCGACAGCACCTCCTGTCACATGACCACAGAGCCATAAGAACACACACACACTCAGCGCGCCACATGATCACACACACACTCATTCATCAACACGCCGTAAGAACACACACACAGCGCGTCACATGATCACACACACAGCGCGTCACATGATCACACACACAGCGCGTCACATGATCACACACACACATTCATCAACACACGCCGTAAGAACACACACACAGCGCGTCACATGATCACACACAGCGCGTCACATGATCACACACACACTCATCCATCAACACACGCCGTAAGAACACACACAGCGAGTCACATGATCACACACTCATCCATCAACACACGCCGTAAGATCACACACACACACAGCGCGTCACATGATCACACACACACTCATTCATCAACACACGCCGTAAGAACACACACACAGCGCGTCACATGATCACACACACACTCATTCATCAACACACGCCGTAAGAACACACACACAGCGCGTCACATGATCACACACACACACAGCGCGTCACATGATCTCACACACACACATCCATCAACACATGCCGTAAGAACACACACACAGCGCGTCACATGATCACACACACACACAGCGAGTCACATGATCACACACACACACAGCGCGTCACATGATCACACACACACTCATTCATCAACACACGCCGTAAGATCACACACACACACAGCGAGTCACATGATCACACACTCATCCATCAACACACGCCGTAAGATCACACACACACAGCGCGTCACATGATCACACACACACTCATTCATCAACACACGCCGTAAGAACACACACACAGCGCGTCACATGATCACACACACACACAGCGCGTCACATGATCTCACACACACACATCCATCAACACATGCCGTAAGAACACACACACAGCGCGTCACATGATCACACACACACACAGCGCGTCACATGATCACACACACACTCATTCATCAACACACGCCGTAAGATCACACACACACACAGCGAGTCACATGATCACACACTCATCCATCAACACACGCCGTAAGATCACACACACACAGCGCGTCACATGATCACACACACACTCATTCATCAACACACGCCGTAAGAACACACACACAGCGCGTCACATGATCACACACACACTCATTCATCAACACACGCCGTAAGAACACACACACAGCGCGTCACATGATCACACACACACTCATTCATCAACACACGCCGTAAGAACACACACACAGCGCGTCACATGATCACACACACACACACACAGCGCGTCACATGATCTCACACACACACATCCATCAACACATGCCGTAAGAACACACACACAGCGCGTCACATGATCACACACACACACAGCGAGTCACATGATCACACACACACACAGCGCGTCACATGATCACACACACACTCATTCATCAACACACGCCGTAAGAACACACACACACAGCGCGTCACATGATCACACACACACACTCATCCATCAACACACGCCGTAAGAACACACACACACAGCGCGTCACATGATCTCACACACACACAGCGCGTCACATGATCACACACTCATCCATCAACACACGCCGTAAGATCACACGCACACACAGCGCGTCACATGATCACACACACAGCGAGTCACATGATCACACACACACACAGCGAGTCACATGATCACACACACACACAGCGCGTCACATGATCACACACACACTCATTCATCAACACACGCCGTAAGAACACACACACAGCGCGTCACATGATCACACACACACACAGCGCGTCACATGATCACACACACACTCATTCATCAACACACGCCGTAAGAACACACACACACACAGCGCGTCACATGATCACACACACACACAGCGCGTCACATGATCACACACACACATACAGCGCGTCACATGATCACACACACACAGCGCGTCACATGATCACACACACACACAGCGCGTCACATGATCACACACACACAGCGCGTCACATGATCACACACACACACACAGCGCGTCACATGATCACACACACACTCATTCATCAACACACGCCGTAAGAACACACACACAGCGCGTCACATGATCACACACACACTCATTCATCAACACACGCCGTAAGAACACACACACAGCGAGTCACATGATCACACACACACACAGCGAGTCACATGATCACACACACACACAGCGCGTCACATGATCACACACACACTCATTCATCAACACACGCCGTAAGAACACACACACAGCGCGTCACATGATCACACACACACACAGCGCGTCACATGATCACACACACACTCATTCATCAACACACGCCGTAAGAACACACACACACACAGCGCGTCACATGATCACACACACACACAGCGCGTCACATGATCACACACACACACACAGCGCGTCACATGATCACACACACACAGCGCGTCACATGATCACACACACACACAGCGCGTCACATGATCACACACACACAGCGCGTCACATGATCACACACACACACACACAGCGCGTCACATGATCACACACACACTCATTCATCAACACACGCCGTAAGAACACACACACAGCGCGTCACATGATCACACACACACACTCATTCATCAACACACAGCGCGTCACATGATCACACACACACACAGCGCGTCACATGATCACACACACACACAGCGCGTCACATGATCACACACACACACAGCGCGTCACATGATCACACACACAGCGCGTCACATGATCACACACACACAGCGCGTCACATGATCACACACACACAGCGCGTCACATGATCACACACACACAGCGCGTCACATGATCACACACACACAGCGCGTCACATGATCACACACACACACCGCGTCACATGATCACACACACACACACAGCGCGTCTCATGATCACACACACACAGCGCGTCACATGATCACACACACACAGCGCGTCACATGATCACACACACACAGCGCGTCACATGATCACACACACACAGCGCGTCACATGATCACACACACACAGCGCGTCACATGATCACACACACACACCGCGTCACATGATCACACACACACACCGCGTCACATGATCACACACACACACACAGCGCGTCTCATGAGAAGGTTTGAGTGTGTGTGCAGCCTTTGCTCCTCTTCTGGAGTCGAGAGTATAAGCTCATTTGTGATGTTATCGGCATCGGTCTGATCAGTGGGTTAGGCCGATATATGAAAGCCGATATATACTGTATTTCCTTCAGATGCGCACTGTTCAACATGATGATTCCAGTGTTTCCTCTAGGATTTTTTCCAGCCGTGGTGGCAGGCCCATTTCGCCAGGGGGAGGGG